CATTCCCTCCACATAAGATTTTGAAGGGAATGTGATTCCCTTCATTTTCTTAGATTATGTAAGATAACATTGGATATTTATAAATTTTGCCATTTTAATTTTAATTATTTAAAAATATATATTTTATGTTAGCTTATATATATATATATATATATATATATATATATATATATATATATATATATATTCTTAACATATTTTCATATGTTTTAATAAATTTAAACATTAAAAATCATGTAATTATTTTAATGTTTAAATTTATTAAAACATATGAAAATATGTTAAGAATATATATATATATATATATATATATATATATATATATATATATATATATATATAAAACTTTAAACCAAACTTGATTATATTACATGCCTCAATTTTAACCAAACAAAGCAATCTTACATTCCCTAAGGTAATCTAATATTCTGTGAACCAAACGGCTCCTAAAAGACAAGGAGAGCACAAGGAGGGGGACACACTATTCACCTACACATTGGAGGACTCTTCCACGCATCACTCTTCCAAGGGGAGAAGACTCCACCACTCTTCCACTCTATCACTCTTCCCCGCTACAAGAAGGCTCCAAATATTGGAGAAAAGGAGAGATAGTTTTATTCCTACAGAATATTACATTCCTACAGAATATTACATGTACAAAAATAGACATATACTATGTACCAATACTTACAAAAATAGTAAAAGTTTTGGTTTGGCACCGCCCAAAGAGGTCCGTGATTTTCCTTTTGATTTTCACGTTAAAATCATTGTATCTAATTTCTTTTAAGTTCATCTTTTCTATTTAATATCCAGTGAATCCACCAACTACTGTAGTTCAATTTTTTTCATCGTCAATTATATAGTACCTTAACTAATACTCCGTATTTTGTAATTTGAATAAAATGGGATGAATTTCTTCTTCTTCTTTTTTTTTTTTTTTTTTTAAATGCTTCAAGTATATTTTTATAAAATTATATTTGGGATCCCGTGAGATCTTTGTCAACTATGTCACACCAAAATAATATTTTTCCCTAGAGTTTTTACTTTTTAGGCACACTGCACCAGAAGAAAAAATGAGACTAACTTCTAATAAATTCAAAGTTTATGGGATTGTTTCGTGTTTTTAGAGTGAAAAATATTATGTGTATTTTCATTTTATACTTTCAATTTTTATTTTTACTTACAAAATATAGATTTAGACACTTGTATTGGGATTCACATGAAAAAGTAGCATTTGTCTACCACATCAGAGAGTAAAATTGAGAGAGTAAGTTTTGAAAGTACATGTAATAGAACACTTTTACATTAATTAAAAGGAAAAATTGCATCTTTAGTCCCTGTGTTATATTCAAGTTCCGACTCAGTTCCTAAGTTATGACCGTATCCATTTTTAGTCCCTCAGTTATGAATGAAGTGACGCATTTGGTCCCTGACCGTTGAAATTGATGGAAAAATTAAAACATATTTAAATTTTGAAGGGTAAAGTAGGAAATTCACATTTTATTCTCCTCCTTATTATATCAAAACCAATTTCACAACATTATTTTTCACTTTTTAGCCTCTTATTTCAAGATTGTTCAATTATAAAAGCATTTCAATAAGTTTAGTATGACTTGTTAGGAACCTGACTCTCGTATAACAAACTTAAGACTTAACACAAACAAAGAAACACTTGATCATTATTTTCAGACGTGTGAAACACACTATCCTCTCAATTTTCAATTTTTTTGAAATTTTTAGTATGTAAAATTTTTTCATATGTAGTAGTTTAGTCAATAATCATTTTTAGAAGTTACAAAATTTTTTAGAATTTTCATAACTGAGTCTTAGGTTCCTCATTCATTACTTTGGTTTTTAAGAAGACAGAAGAGGTGATGGATATATATATATATATATATATATATATATATATATATATATATATATATATATATATATATATATATATATATATATATATAATTTTCATATATTGTCAGGATATATGATTTTTGATTAAGTTACTGCAGAGCATACGAAAGAACTTTATGTATTAAAAATCTCAAGTTACTCCCTTGGTGAATTATTCATAAAAATAATCTGAGAAATTTGATATCTTCTTGTATTTTAAAAGTTATGGTTTGATTGCCATTATGTTCAGTAAGGAAAATCGGAATCTTTTAGGATGATGTGTTTTATATGATTGAAGACAATGATCAAGTGTTCTCCTGTTTGTACTGAGTCACAGGTTCCTTATACGAGACTCATGTTACTAACAAGTCATACGAAGATTATTGAATTGTTTTTGGAATTGAAGAACCTTGAAATAGAATGCTAGGAAGTTGAAAATAATGTTAAAAAAGTGGTTTTAATATAAGAAAGGGAATAAAATGTGAATTTCCAACTTTACCCCTAAAATTTTAAATATTTTTTAATTTTGCTGTCACTTTTAACGGCCGAAGACCAATACGTCACTTCATTCATAACTGAGGGACTAAAAATGGATACGGTCATAACTCAGGGACTGAATCGTCACTACCATTATAACTCAGAGACCAAACTCGCAATTTTCTCTAATTAAAATTTTGATTTTCTATAGAACTAGCTCAAGTGATAAACCACCAAATCTAAAATCAACACTTAAACAACAAGGTGGGAATTCGGCTTCCATTAATAACTATGGGAATCAAGGCTCCCCATACTAGAGTTTAGACTCTTGAGCTCCTTAAATTGAAGATTGAGCTCTTCAAATTAGTAAAAGTGCAAAGATGAATTAACGACATAAAATGAGTGAGAGACTTACAATTTACCTAATATATAATAAATTGTGAAACTTAATATATAAAAAAATCAAGAAATAAAAAATAAAAAAATCTGCGCGTACAGAATAAGACTGATACGCTGTGGTAAGTGATGATTATAAAAAATGGTTCAGCTTTGGGTTCCCACTGACGGACAAAGCCTGGCAACTCTACGCAGTAGCAATTATTCTGCTACGGACTCGCCTCACTCTGTAGTGTGTACTTGGATTAACTCTAAAATGAATATTTACATTTCCAACTTTTATAATAATATCATATTTTAAAAATAAAATCTAATATGAATATGTTTAGAATTTTTTATAAGTTGTATAGATAGGCAAGTATGTACTCACTTATTTTTATTTCATGTGTCTAATTTTGTTAACAAAACTTAATTGAATTTATTTATAATTTAATTTTTCATAATGTTAAATTTATATATTTAAAAATTAGATTAAAAGTATTATTAAACAAAAAAAATATAAAAAAAAATTTAAAAAATAGATGAATTGACGGATGAATATTAAATATGACAGGTAAAATAGAGCATATGAAGTACTTATTTTTAGATGCTTTAGTTTTTATACATGGTATCATTTCCCAATTTAGTTATAAAAAATGACCAATTTGTCATAGTGTCATGTGGACATCCATACAGCTATGGCTGTTTGCAATGGTGGACAACCATGGTTATCTTTATTGAGGTAGTCTTTTGTGTTTTATTTATTTATTTATTTATATTTTTTTTGTTTGGCTTAAAGAAATATAAAATAGTATATATGATGTAAGGAGGACCATATATGGTTCATTTCTAGTTCTGAATTATCAATTTTTTATTTCATATTTCAAGTAAGCAAAGTAATTGGAGTTGAAACTTGGTGAAAAAAAGTTTGATTCTAATTCATTGAATTATTGATTCGAATCTTTATTTATTTAATCTTCACTTTCCAATGTAATTGAATTTCCTGAAATAGTTTAGTGTTTCATTTATCTCTTCTTTTATCAAAATATAATAAATGTTATCCATTATGCTGAATATATATTTGATATGGACCTTTAAAATAAAAGCGACAAATATTAAATATAATGGCGACAAATATTAGAGAGGTTGATATGAGATATATAGTAGCATTGAATCCAGGGAGATATAGGTGTTTCACTTTTATGTTCAAGTGCTTTGCACTGCCACCGACTTCATATCCACTTCCCCTGCATTCAAACTTCAAACCAACATACCAAATTATGTAACCTAACTTGACCTACCATGTCTCTTCATTTTTCATGCAAAATAGTTGAAAGAAAGATAAAAATTAGGGGTTAGTTAGTACCATCAAGAAATATTTTATGAATTTAATTATATAAATTAAAAAAAAACTTTTTACATGTAAAATACTTTACATTTACAATTAAAGATGTTTTTTTTTTTTTTTTTTGGAATGAAAATGCGATTTGATTATCCATTCAATTAGTATTTGGTGAGATTTGATTACTCATTCAATTAAAAATCTCATTTCCTAATTAAAAGAGGTGTTCCATCTTATTGATAATATAGATTTTAAGTTTGAATTAGTACTTTTAGATTTTTGTTTTTATTTATTTTTTGTTCATATTGATACTTTGGATATCATTATATTAAAATCAATTGCCTTATTTTTTATTTTTGTATTTTTTAAAAATCTTTATTCTCATTATAGCGTCATATACAACCAAACATCAATATTGGTAATCATTTCAATTCCACCGTACTATCAAACATGCAAAACACTTTTACCAAAACTCATTATCATTTATCAAGTATTCGATTTCGATTTCGATTCCAATTTCTATGTGCAGACCAAACACACCCTTACTGTGTAAAAGAAATGTACTTTTTTTGAGTGACCATAAAAGCATGTAATTACTATTTAATTGTGTACAGTGAAAAAACTTTATTCAACAAATGGCCACAAAAAAATAAACCAAACATAAGTTACTCATAACAGATTTGTTCAAATAAAAAAGACGAATAGACTACTTAGACCAGGATTCAAAATTGTAATATTGTGGTTATATGGTTACCAAGAAAAGTAATTAATGAATATAAAAACAAGAATAAAACTATGAAGGTATAATTATTGAGGTGGCATATAGAGACATGAGCAATCCAGTCCATTTTCACAAGTAAAGTGAGTGTTGAAGGCTCGTCTTTTGCGACAGGGAAAAATAATAATAAATGAAGTTTTCACCGCGGGGGTGACGAGAAAAAGAGAAAATTGCGGCCATGATTTGAGGAGGAGGAGGAAAGATAAGCGGCGGGGACCGGAGAGAAAGCATAGAACTGCGAGCAATATTCCAAAAAAGCGAACCGGTCTGTCCGGCCGCCCGGCCCGTCTTAGTCACATGCTGGACTGTCCGCCATGTCCTTGTTTCCGACAAATTTCTGCCAGCAAAACTCCGTCTTCTTCTTCTTCCTATTCTAAATCTCTATTACTCTCCCTTCTTCATCTTCGTGCCTTCAAAATCTTCTCTTTCTTCCCCTCTGTAAATTGGGCCGAACATCTTTTGACTTCTTCTCTAACATCTCTCTCAATCATTGGACCATACATTAATTGCATCCTTCATTTTTAATTCTTTTGGTTTCTTTCCCCCCACTTTATTAAATTATCGCTTCTTTCTCACGAATCTCACTCTCCCTATTTGCTGCTTGCTGATTCGCTCCCTCCCCTTTTCAGATTCACACTGCCAACTCTTTCTCAGTTTATCCCAGGTGAGCTCCTCTCAAATACCCACTTTTTCTTTTCTTGCTCTTGCAATGCTGAAACCCTGAAAGATTAGATATATGAACTGGGTTTATAGTGTGGGGCTGTAACATATTTTAGTGTTTGGGAAAATTTTTGTTGATTTATTATATACATGGTTGTACTAGGAAGGATATTAGTGGTCCAGATTGCAGAGACTTATATTAGATTCTGCAGGTAAGAATGACAGATCAATAGTCAATGCTAGGCATTTAGGCAAGGACCATTATTCTAATAGCTTTAGCTGTTTTGAAGGGGAGAAGGTGGTGTAAAAACTCAGAATGAAAATATGGTTCTTTATGTAGGGTTTAATAGGATGATGGGGAGTTGTAAAGTTTGGATCTTTTTAACACTTGGGTTTGAAATTCTTCAATTATTGTTTTCAGGTAAGGTGAATAGATCAATAGAATAGTGAGATTTGGCAAATGGTAGGGGCAATGTGGGCTATACTTTGCTAGGATTGAAAGCTATGAGGAAAAATTCTACTTCATTGCGAAATTCGGGTACATATACGAGCCCTTCGACGCCAGAATATGGAGATAACCATGTTGGTGGGATTCAGAAGGGTTGGAGTTCTGAGCGAGTTCCATTGCCTACGAATAGTAGCCGGAGGCACGTTAGTGCAACGGCATTGATGCCATTCAATAGCGGGAGGTCTTTTCCTTCGAAATGGGATGATGCCGAGAGGTGGATCACGAGTCCATTGTCGAGTTATGGCGTTTGCAAGGCATCGGCTGTGCAACCTCGGAGACATGCTAAGTCAAAAAGTGGCCCTCTAGGAACCCCGGGTCTTATGTACTTGCCCAATTTTTCGCCCTCTATTCCAGTCTATGAAGGCGGAAGCATTGGTAATTTCGCGGGGAGTTCGCCGTTTACAACTGGTGTACTGGTTCCCGACGGTTTATGCTTTCATTACGGTGCTGGAATTGATCCAAAGGCTAATTCTTTATACACCACCGAGAAGAGGATTGCTCGAGCTAGTAGTGTTCCTGGTCTGTCAGATTTGTTGAGTGAAGCTTCGTTACCGAGCTCTCAAGGTAAATTATTTATCAACTCTCTATGGCTGTTGAGCATATAACCATTAATGTGCAATCCAACTATCAGCTTAGGCTTTTAGTTGAGATGGAGCACATGCTCGCCACACACGTGAGGGGGCGTGTTGAGCATATAACCATTAGCTTAGGCTTTTAGTTGAGATGAAGCATATGCTTCAATCGGCCCTTTTTGGTCATCTGTTTTGCCTACTTCGCTTATGCCCTTTTGTTCAAGTTTATTATTGTTAGCATAAACGTGCAAATTGAATACAATTGTCAGTGTCTTATGATTGATTTTGTAACTTGGAGATTACTGACTATTAAGGAATTGACAAAGCAGATGATAAGCTTGATGCCAGCAAGGTTGCAGAAACTGATGATTTGCATGTTGTTTCGCGGAGAGATATGGCAACTCAGATGAGCCCGGATGACAGTATTCACTCATCTCCCAAAGAGAGCCCGCCATTGCCTTCCTTTCCGCTTCCAGTCCCTGGAGTGGAGGAACAGAACAAGTATTCTGCAAAAGTGGAAATCAGAGATGTACAAGTAGACAAAGGTGCCACCATTTCCAGCCAATATGGGTCGAGAAAAATGAAGAGAGACTCACAAGATACCAACAACTCGTTCTCGCCTTGGGATGTTGTCGAAACAACAAAAAGCACGTCAAAGTATGCTAAATTACTTTTTATTTAAGTATTTGAATTTATTATCTGAAAAGAATTGTAGCCAAGTTGGTCAGACTGTTGACTTGGTAACCACTAGGTTACAAGTTTGACTCCCAGCCAGAACGGCCTATTAACCTTCTTGGTTTGAGCTGATCAGCTTTATCGGCTAGGGTTACATGAAAATATATATATATCATGCTTTTCAGAACACAAATATTGACTTCTCCATGTCCTATGTTGCGAAGGGAGGAAGCTAGGATTAGTGCCTGGGAGAACTTGCAGAAGGCAAAAGCCGAAGCAGCAATTCAGAAACTTGAGGTTTGTACACTGATACTTCAAGAAAATACCTGTTTCTTCTGTTGCTCCATTGATATTCTTATACTCTGTAGATATCCCATTTATGCAATTACAATTCATTTTCAGATGAAACTAGAAAAGAAGAGGTCAGCATCTATGAACAAGATTATGAACAAGCTTAGAACTGCCCAGATGAAAGCTCAAGAGATGAGAGGTATAATTTCAGAGAAACACGACGCCAAAGATTCAACCAAATCCATATCCTTCGGGAAGCAGTTTAAGATGGCCTTCTTTAGCGGTTGCTTTTCCTGCCGTGTCCATTAGAACTAGGTTCTCAAAATTCACCAGCATTGTTCATTCTTGGTGAGCAATATTTCAGGTAGCTCAGCATATCCGCGCCTCGATATCTAGTTTTGTACCAATTTTTGTAAAAAAGGAACAGATTGGTGAAAATCACTAGACTACCTCTCGTACACGATTGTCACATTTTATGTACTGTCTGGAGTCAGATTATACATTCAGTAAACATAGTTTCTATGTGTAGTATTTTCCCTGTATTGACAGTTCTTAGGAGCAAAATGCCAACGCTGATATGCCAAAAGACCCCCAACAACTCGGCTCAAGTTTGGGAAAGAAAAGACAGAACAAAACCTTGACCAATTAGAGGTGATGAAGGTCCTTTATGCGTAGAATGTACATGCAAGGGGCGGGAACTTGAAGATTGACGGGACGACTTGCAATTTACATCATAAAATGGCTCTTGGACATGAGTTCTGAAAGTTTAAAATTAGTCTGGCGTAAAGTGAGAAATATAATCACAAAAAGAAACGATAGAACAAAGGACAAAAGATGTGCCAGCAAATTAGTATAGAACCTTTTGATGTGCTACTGTACTCTGTCCAGCCAAGGGGGGAAATTGTGCACTACAATAACAATCCATTGGGGCAACCAAAGAAAAAGCAATAAGTTCAACAATGGCATTAGAAAATTGTGAATTCAATTGTACATTACAGTGGGGCATCCTTTCTGGCCCCTGCAAAAGCTTTCTAAACTTATGAAAGTAAAATATAACATAACTATTCCAGTTACACCATAATCAATGGTTCAAAGATATAATGGCAACAAGTGGCTGCATGTTGCGTTATAACTCCAGGCTTGGCCAATGATACGATTTTTCGTAACTGCTTTTAGCAAGGGGCACACATCCTTTATGCTCAAGACTGCTATCAGAAAGGCTTGTAACTCAGATCAAGATGGGACTGCTACTAATAAGGCCTATACCTCATATCTGCCCGGGAAGGTCTCCCTCCCCCCATACTACTACCCATGCCACCGTTCATGCCATATCCCCACTGTTGAAAAAGAACATTTAGTACATAGTTCACAACATTGAATAAAATGCGTAGCATGTTTTCTAAGTGCACGTAAATTGTGGACAAGCAGTAGTCTGTAGACAAGCAATGTGTAAGCAGTTAAGATATAGTAATTATATGTATGTATACACACACAGGTTAATTGAGTAAAATCTAAGCATTCATTGAACAAAATCAGGAAACTTACATCATCAAAACCCAGGCCACCATACATCCTGCCATAGGTCCGCATTGGGCCACCATAACCCCCGTATGGTTCTGGGTGATTATCTATCATGAAACCATTACTTGGACCACCAGCATCATCAAGTGGTGTGGCAGAATCTATTGCAACCTACAAGGCAAGCAAAAACTTCATATGAGAACTATTACTGCCTTCTCCAATGGACCCAACAACCCTCATGGCTAAATTTCAGGGAAAGTAGTATTACAATTCCTTCAAATTATGGAGTATATATGGTGTTTCATGAGCACATATAATATACTCCGTAATAATTACAATAAACCAGCACCTGCTGTCCACAAATCTCATGAGTCCTTCGAGAAACACGGTCTGCTACACCATCTTCAGCAAATGTAACAAAACCAAATCCTCTATGACCTGTCCTCTTGGGATCCTATGACACAAAGAATAACATTTTACTAAGAAAACACTTAAGTTTCATTTGCAGAATTACAAATGCAAATCTTACCTTAGGAACATAAACATCTAAAATTCGGCCAAATCTACCAAAATATTGGCGGAGATCATCTACAGTTGCCTCCTGAGGAAGCCTTCCAACAAAAATCTTTCTTCCCATGCCACGAGTGGGTAACCCCCCTCCTAATATTAAAAATTACAAAGTCAAGCAAATAATCAACTATAGTGACAAAGATCACATTCAACTTATGAATATTCTATTGGTCAAGATTAACTTACTTCCATACATAGAACCTGGATGGTCATACAATGTTGGAGCACCTAGGGCGGCATATCTAGTTGTTCCATTGATATAAGCATTGTATGCTCCATATCCACCAGTCTGAGGCACTCGACTTACTGGTCTGAAATCCTCTTCCTAAAAACAAAATATCCACAGTTATCACTCGTAGTAAAAAAAAAAAAAAAAAAAAAAAAAAAAGAAGCAAAGTTTTGACTTTCAACAACTGCCTTAATCCTTATACATGATCCCCAAAAGTATACAAAACTTTAAGCGGGTGCACTATATAGAATGTATGACTCTAGCTTGGGGTAACCAGAGGGTTTTGAGATGGAAAACAGATATTGCTAAACTAGTTCAGCTGAATGCTTTGCTATTCCACTTGGATGCTTAAACTCAAAACAGAAGCCTTCAAGGATGGAAGATACTCTCACTTACCTTAGGTGTTGCTCGGTCAACAACAACAGTAGAACCACCCAGTTCATGACTATCATGCATCAGGTCATCAACTGACTCTGAGAAAAGAAGATATACAGTCAGATACTTTTTTAATACAGACTTTCAAAATGGTGTAAAAAAGCCAAAGAAATTAGGTTTGATCAATTTCAACTGAACAACATGAAACAATCAATAGAATAACTAAAAGCATTGATATTATGCAGTTATGCACTACAGAAATTAAACACTTGCCAGCATTTGTGAAAGTGATGAACCCAATTCCACGATGGCCCTTGGTGGCTGGATCCTGAATAATTTCATAAATTAGATTTTACTTGAAGTACTGCATTATAAACCAGGTTTATTAAGTAGTGGCATGAGGGCAGAAGAGGAGAGCAAAAGATATAAACCTTTGGCATGTATAGATCTGTTATATCACCATATTTCTCAAAATAGCTGCAAGAAAAAAATACAATAGATCAGATTTAAATGTTCAATATTTGCAAATCATTTCCTATCACAACCAAACTGATTAAAGATAGTATAAATTACAATGAAATAACTTGATTGGCAAGAACAAACAAATACCTTCTGAATGTAGCTTCAGTTACAGATGGTGGTATCCTAGCTACAAAAATCCTGCTCACTTTCTTTGCAGGTGCCCTCATCTCCTCCTGCAAAAAAATTGTTTTCAATGTTTAGATAAGGCTAAAAATTATACGGAGACACGGAGTACAATGGTAAAATGTAAGATAACTGTTTAAACATTCACATTAACTAGTACAACCTTTGGTGTCGCTATTTTTACTTCCAGCACTCTGTTTCCAAGGAAGTGCTCCTTAGATAATGCATTCTGCAGTACAAAGGCATAATAAAAATAAAAGAAATTTTAACATTAGCTATCACTGAAATAAGAAATAATATAAATAAATAACAAGCATTTACAAAAGCAACAATGTGTCATCACCTTAGCATCCTCAGCTGTTGCAAATGTTACATAGCCAAACCCTCGAGAACGGCCAGTGGATCGTTCCTAGAAACATGGAAAAGAATTGATTGCCTTAAATGCTTGATGATGAATTGCAAGACATTTAATTTCAGCCACTTGTTCAACTAACATTTAAGCTTATTCCATAACAAAATTTAAGTTTTTGTAGCATAATTATGCAAGATCTTGCTTTTGCTACCAAATTCAATATCACTAACATCAAGACTATGCAATATCATATGAAGAAAACTGTAAAGCAAATATGAACCAAAAATCAGCTACCAGACTGACCTTCATTACAATACAGTCTTCCAATTCCCCAAATTTGCACATGTATTCTCTTAAGCCCTCGGTATCAATGTCCCAAGGGATACCCAAAACCTTCAAAAATCAACACATAAATGAAAAGAACCAACCCAATTGGTACAGGGGAAAATAAGAACACTTACAACAAGCTTCCTATCCGACATGGTAAAAGGGGGCGCAAAGACAAATCTAGCTGCAGAGATAAAAAATCGCTCGAGACACACACAATTTCTCTCCTCTGTTCCTCTTGCGCTCTCGCGATCCCACCACCTCCCTCTCTACAAATCAAGCGCTCACACTCGACGACGATGAGGAGAAATCCTGCACACAACACACACACCTCTTTCTCACACAAAAACATCATCATCATCATCTTCATCATATACCACAAAAAACTCACCATTTTTCTTTCTAGAATTCTCAGGTCAAAGGAACATACAAATGTTATGGAAGAAATTTAAGCGCACTCACTAACCTTGGGCGATTCAGATTTTCAAAACCCTAACTCGCTCTCTCTCGCTCGCTAACTCGCTCGACTCGCGCTCTTCCTCTCGCCGCTCAGCGACTCCGTTTCAAACCCAATCTACTCATCCTGTACCCAACTCCCTTATTACCCGATCCGATTTTAGGTATATAAACGAATAAACTATATGCTCAATTTTATTCTATATTTAGAAATTTATTGTGCATAAAATTAGAAATAATAAACAGTTAATAATTTTATGTTTACCACTCACAAAAATACTTCACTCTTTGTTGTTTTCAAAAAGATGGAATCCCCACTTTTTAATGTCCTTACGCGCGTTTCAATCTGACAAAATATCTGGAAAGATGTAAGCTCGTTACTGGTAAAACTCGATTCTGAATTATTATTTTCAAATTTCATTGACCAATTTAAATACTCAGACAAATTTACTAATTCATATATATCTACACTTTAAACATTGACATATTTATAAAACATTCATATCGACTTAACTATTTAAGAAACTTTTTAAATATAGACATGAAGTGAAAATACTATAGCTTGGATACTCATACCTAATCAATACAAAAATGAGATAGTTGTTTTCTACTTTGCCATAAATCAGAATAAAAGCATTTTGGTGATCATATATCTACAAAACAAGTTTCATAGGTTTGCAAATTGCAAGTATATTAAATATTCTTTTATTTGAGACTATTGTAATTACACTCATAGAAACTCATTTAAACTTTAGAATGAGGAGTTTTAATTTTTTACTTTTAGTATACATTGATTATTGTATATTTTTCATAACGTATTATTATATAAAATTTATATATTTAGAAATTATATTAAAAAGTATTATTGAATATAAAAATAAAATTTATAAAAAATATTAAAGAAAATATATACGCAAAAAAAGAAACATTTAGCTTAACCAATAAATAGTAAACATAACAGGTAAAATTGGACAGATAAGTATTATTTAACATGTATAGTAATACTAGAAGAATATATATGTGTTTCTGTGTGTGTAAGGGATAAAAAGTGTGAATACATCCACACTATCCAACTTGATAAATCAAAGGCTAAGATCTTATCATTACTACTAAACTTTCAAATTTTCAATAATTATAAATTATCAACCCGCCAAGAGAAGACATGAGTAAGAGAAAATATCAATCTTTATTATTCATTATTATTCAGTCCAATATAAATAGGATATACAATGTTGTAATTGTATAGTTATAATATAAATCGTCTAATAATGTTCGCAGTTATTTATTTACAACACGCACCGATAACAATATACATTTAAAAAAAAAAAAAATTAATAAAATAAGCCATCAACTTCTCCCAACTGGATGGAGTTGATATATTCTTGAGGAGCATGAGCAGGAAAACCAGGGATGATGAGTCCAAACAATCTACAACCTTTGAGAATCCACCCTTCTTTATATTCAGCTCCATATATACCAGGAAGAAGAAACCCTCTCACTATTTCCCACAGAGCATCCACCCTCTTCGTTACAAATTCCCTTAAGGAAAAATAGTTCTTTAATGGTTCCTCTTCCACAACCTGTTTCACATTGAAAAGAATTAACATAAAAAAGCTTATTATTACTAGCTTTTCACAATTCTAAAATCATTCATTTCTATTCATTTTTTTCGACTATTAAAAAGTTTACAAAATTTTACTACTAAGTTTTCTAGGTTTCTGTTTCTCATCTACATCACTATGGTTGCTGATTTTTATTTTTTATTTTTGTTGACAATAATGGCGTTTTTAAATGCTAATAGAAGAGTAAATTGCGCAAAATCATCAAAGTTAAATTAAGAGTAAATACCAGGACTATGTGGTCTAATGGTACCCGGGTTGGACTTCCATTTGGAAGATTATGAGTTCGAGCCTCAGTGGAGGCGTTATTGGTTCTTTGTGTTTCAGTAGGTTGAGAAAGTATATGAACAGATCCTACAATGTAATAGAACCAGTAACTTTCAAAAAAAAAAAATTAAGAGTAAATACCTAAAATGGTCCCTCAACTTTCAATTTCAACCAATTAAGTCCTTAACTTTGTAATTTTGACACGATTTGGTCCTCCATCTATTTAACCGTGATTGAAGATCTCCAACCAATTAAGTCCTTAACTTTGTAATTTTGACACGATTTGGTCCTCCATCTATTTAACCGTTTGTTGACCGTGATTGAAGATCTCCAGAAGAACCTTCAGCTCTCTTCGGAGCACGTGGAGGCCTCCAGGATGACGTTGCACTGGTTCGGAAACACGTCGTCTTCTTCGCTCTGGTACGAACTCAACTACATTGAATTCAAAGGGAGGATGAAGAAAGGCGACCGTATTTGGTAGATTGATTTCGGTAGTGGATTCAAATGTAACAGTGCGGTTTGAAAAATGCAACCAGAACCTTAAAAAACCGACAATGGACCAAGAAATTACATATATATCCTCAAAAATCACAGTCAACAAACGGTCAAATAGACAGAGGACCATATTGTGTTAAAATTACAAAGTTAAGGACTTAATTGGTTGAAATTGAAAGTCAATGACTAATTTGTGAATTTAGCTATAGTCAAGGGACCATTTTGGGTATTTACTCTTAAATTAAATACAAAGGAATCATCTAAGACTAAATCGAGTAAAATCACTATAGTCGATGACTACATTGAGTATTAACTCTGATAAAAATACACCCACCCATCTTTGCCACATCAACCTAGCTAAAGGTAAAAAAAATTAATAATCTTTTTAGGTGGCCCCGGTATTACCAACCACTCTTATATATAGGCGTTGTCTGCACGACTGCACTACTGGAGTGTTTTTTTTTTTTTTTTTTTTTTTTTTTCAAATTTAAAAAATGGTTGAAAAAGTAATCCAAAAGACGACCCCTTATGTTCTGCCTTTGACCATAAGTTAGTTATTGACGCGTTCAAACTAATAAGGTCAACTGATCAGTTGGGTTTCTCAACTTGGAATCTTATAGTTATCAAATTAATTATTATCTGACTAACTCAATCAGTTGTGTTTCTCAAAATATATTGGGCCTATTTAGTAACATAGTTAGCTTATTAGTCAATTTTGACTTATTTAGCCATTATTAGGTGTTTGACTTGGATAAACAACCAGTATAAGTGTTTGGTTAATTAGCTTTTTGTAACAGCTTATTACTTCAAAACGCTAAAATTCAAAAAGCTACTCAAAGTAGCTTTTTCGATTAGTGTTTTTTTCAAAAAGTCATTTTAATGTAAATCAGCTATCAACTAACAGTTAATTTACCAAACATCTTTCTACAATAAGTTAATACTATCAACTAGTCAAACACTAGAACTAAATAAGCTAACAATAATTTATCAAACACTCCATCGTCCTGACAAATTAAAAAGTACGTGGTATTACATACCTGTCCTTGGAATAGGCAATCATAGTAGAGACATGTCCCAAAGTGTTTAAACATCATGACGTGGTTATCAAAGGGCAGTCTAGGCACAATATCATGACTGTACACAAATCTGTAGTACCTAAAAGAGTCATAAACCCTCAACTTCTCTTCCATGAATTCCTTAAACCCCTCGTCTCCAACCCTGGGCTGCCCAAACGTGTACACCGCCGCCAACCTTTCCAGAATGGATTCTTCGCCGTGCAACGCCAGAACCGCCGGAAACAGAACCGCCAGTGCGCCGCCCAGGCTGTGGCCTGTCACAATGAACTTGGTCCGACTGTTTTTCTTCAACATCTTTCTCAGCTTTTGCCTTATGAAATAGTAGGCCAATGGGTGTTGGGGGTCTTGTTCGATTTCTGTCGGCCATGTTTCGCCCTTCTGTAAGCCCAGTGCCTTCATGAAACCGCTGTGAACTCTCCCCCTGTCGGCAAACTCGTACAAGGGAAAATCGATGTCCGTACGCCAATCCTCTGAGTGGAAAGGTTCCGTACCTCGGAACACCACGAAGATCATGTCGGGATCGCTGCTCTTGTCGTGGAACATGAAGCCTTGTGTTGAGAATTTCCGCTGATACTCTTCCAATTCGGAACAAAAATATTAATGCAACACATAGGTTCTCGGAATATAATAGTTTTATCACGTTTAGTCCTAAACTTAAAATTGACCATCTATCCTAATTTTTAAATTTAACCATTTCTGGTCCAAGTTAACAACCCATAGTCCTTCAATTTTCAAAATTTAACCGGTCATCTTAAAAGGACCATGGTTTGTTAAAATTTAATAATTGAAAGACATGTGTGGTTAACTTAAACCAAGAATGGTTAAATTTGAATGTATAGTCACTTTGAAAGTTTAGGATTAAATGTGGCAAAATCATTATACTCGGGGTAAATCAAAATATTATATCAATTATTGACTTCTTGTTCAAAACAACGTTACGTTAATCGAAACCCGAATTCAAGGTGTATATATTATTGGTTCACGTTTTCCCCCTATTTAAGAATGGAAATTATTGTACTCTCTCGGTCTCATTTTATCTTCCTATATACTATTCATTAGTCAAATTAACTTTTTATTTATTTTCTTTAATATTTTTTTTACTTGTTTTAAAATTTGATTGTTTGTGTTTAATAATACTTTTGGTATAGTTTTTAAATATATAAATTTTGTATACTAATACTAAACTTTTTTTTTTTTTGAAAATAATACTAAACTTAATATTATGAAAATTTGAATTAAAAATAACTTCAGTCAAGTCTCATTAACTGAACCAGACACATAAAATATTGGGACGGAGAGAGTATATAAAATATTTCATATTCATCTAGTTCTTGAACATATATGTTCTTATAGATCATCAAAATCAAACCGTTATCAAATTTAGCCTAAGAGTTCGTTTGGAAACCTGAAAATTGATTTTCAGAATAATTCATTTTCTAAAAAATATTTTAATTTTCTATGTTTGGATGAAGGTTAGAAATATATTTTTATGTGAAATTGCATTTTGTCTATTTGGTCCATTTTCAACATATTATTTGTTGTAATAATAATAATAATAATAATAATAATAATAATAATAATAATAATAATAATAAGTGTTAGTGTTTAGAAAGTATAGAACATATACTACTTTGTAAAGAATTATAAGTATTTCAAAAAAAAAATATTGTTGTTGGTGCTGGTAATAATAATCCGTAA